TAATAATAAAAAAATAAACTCGATATTTCAACCACATCATTTTGTTTCATTCCCGCATAAGACGTTCTAGAGAGCTGGTCCCTTAAAGAGCGTCTTAAGCGAGTTTTACTGTAATTATAAGCTTCACATAGATATTTTCAAACGTAGATATTAAAGAATAAAATATAACCTTTGATTACCTTAGTAATAATAGTTATATTATTAACTTGGAAATATTGAAAATATCGATATGGTTTATAACTAGGCACTTGTTATTGCTCCTTTTTATTTAAACTTATTTCCTTTATTATATTCTAGTTGCTGATGTCTTTTTAACGAATTTTATAAAACTTTCCAGCATAATCTGTGTTACATTTTATTTTATTTTATAACTTCAAACTAATTTTCCAGCTGCTAAAAAAAAAATTTWAAATTATTGAGTTATTGACTTTTTAAAAATAATTATTTAAGAGTTCACTGAATTGGCTTTACATAGTATGAACACTATGAACACAAAAACGAGAAAAACGAGAAAAATGATAAAAGAATTACTTTAATTTCTTATGAGAGGTATACAACTAGTACTTGTATTAATGTAAGTCTTATGCAATTTTTTTTTGCAACGACCATATTTTACAAGTGCAAAGAGTTTTATTTTTTCAGCGGACTAAAGATGAGTCGACATTTTTGTAAAAGAATATACCAACAGATACCCTCTTCTAGCGTGAGAAGTATGGAGAAACTACTTGACGGATAATTGTACCTCTGTAATACAGAGGCAAACGTGACTTCAATGATTGTAGGATACTCTATATATAAAAAAAATTCTCCACCAACTTTAATGCATTATATATATTATTATATAAAAACAGGAAATAATTTTTTCGTATTTTATAAGTATCCAACGGGTTGATAATTTTATATTTTTATAAGTAGGTACCTACGTTGCTTTCTCTCAAATGGAAAAAAATATTAGTATTTTTTACTCTTACGATTCTATGTCATATCAACTTATTTATACGAAACTCAACACTAAAATAAGATATCTCAATTTTATTTATTTATTTATTCAATGTTTAATAGTATGTATGGGATATCGTTTGAGTTTCAGCCCCAGAACCCAACTGGGTCGCTAGCGAGAAGTTTACTAAAACTGAAATATTATAAAGTTTATAAAGTTATACATAAATATATAACTCATACAAAACTCAAAAAGTCCCTTTAAATTTAATTTATTGGTTGGTAAAATATGTATTGTCTATAAATCGCGTGCGCTAGAAGTAGGTATCTTATTAAATGATATTATATTATTATAATAAATCTAAATCAATTGTGTTTGTTAACTAGTTTATACCGATTGGATCTTTATCCCTTAAATTAAACTCATAAATAACTAATGGTTATTTTATCAAAATAACCTGTAACATTTGTACAAAATAATGTGTGAACTCACGAAAATCAATGTATTATAAATTATAATAAAATTAATATTCATTTTTGAATGTTGGTTGGAAACTTAAGAGATTTAATGCCTTCAAAATGTAATGAAGCTCTTTCAACAATGTCAATATTTTATTAAGCGTCTATACTATTGTCCTGAAAAATAATAGATTTTAATTGTGTACCTAATATATTTTATCATTCTTATGATTAGGTACCAACAGCAATATATCAACATTTAAATAGCTGTTGACTGCAGTTCTTTACATTTAATAACAATTGTTTAAATTTATAAGAGTATTTCGTGATAAAGCAATTTTACTGATTCATTAATCAGTTATCAGTAATACTTAAATAGTTTTTCATTCTAATAATAAATTATATCCTTATAATTATGTTAAAGAAATTCAAATTGTTTTAAATTTAGTAACATATCTATTCATATAGGCAGGTAACTGCTCGTCAATAATTTTAGCATACAATGAAATATAAAATACATAGTAGAAGTAGAAGTACTATTACAAGTTGAAAGACAAACCATTTTTTTTTTTTTTTAAATAATTTTTTTAATTCCATTGTATATAGTTAACAAATTAAAAATGTTCCTAAACTAAAAGTCATTGTGAAACAATTTCTGAAGATCTAATCATCCCTTTTTAATACAAGTTATGTTTTATGCTTCACATCATTATACAATTATGCTGCACTACAGACTTCACCGAATAGTCAAGACTTTAGACTTTTAGAGTTTAGAACAAGGGACATTATATACAGGATGATTCTTTTAAGTGGGTACACTAATTATCTCGAAAAATATTTACTTTTTTCAAAATATTTTTTTACATGGTTTCAAGTTGTTAAAAAACCAACGTTTTTATTAAAAAATTATATTTTTAAATATTTTTTAT